CAAAATGTGTCCTCAACACACACTAAATCTCACTAGCCTTAATCTAGCTAGGCTTCATTTTTATCTTTTCTACTTCTCTGTTTTTAAAACCCCAAAGAAGACTCTTTATCCAGTGATCTGATTTTTAACAGGTAGGCATCTTTGACAAAGCAGCCCAGGGAACTCCATTGTTTTTCTTTATGCATATGTGACGATGGCCTGCGATCAGTGCTTTCTCTTGTCTGTGCTTGCTGGTTTTGTTCCCGCACAAACACTGCTCCATTGTTCACAACAAAAAGCATGGTTAAAAAAAACCAGAAAAGAACTGGAGAATTGGACAACTGTCATTCTTCCAAGTATAGAGCATCGGTGCTGCATGGCACAATCTCCACATTAAATTATGCCATTGGCTCTTAAAGAGATACCAGATCTTCATCTCTAGAATACAAAATCTCATAACTGAAAAGTCAAATGTCCACTGAAACAGCTGTGGTTTGGATAGTTTTGTGAAACCTAAATGGACGGGAAATAACTGAACCTTTGGGGCAGGGAGATACAGTAAGAAAGAACTATCCTACAGAGAAGGCCATCTGTTTCGGAAAGAGGAAGGCCCACAACAGACTTTCTCTTAGGACCAAACCAGATTAAATATATGCTGCACCACTAGGGGCTTTAAAAGCACTAGCACATTTCACTGAAATAGTACTAGCCTATTGAAATAGTAAAGAATGCAATGTTGAAGTGACTTCAAAGTTAGCGTCATTCAGGCTTGGTGGAGTTGTCCTGTCAGGAGTCTCTCCACTGCATTTTGTGCAGCTGAGTAGCTGAAGCTTCTTGTTATCCCACTGCTGCATGAGCTGTGCTGGCTTCCAGTTGCTCTCCAGGTGCAATTCAGATGCTTGTTATTAGGTCTTAAATCTCTAATGGCACAAGATCAGGACTGCCTCTTTCTAAGAATATCTACTAATCTAGGTCAGATATGGTGAGCATGCCCAGATCCCCTCCTTTAAATACTGGCAACTTTGGGGACTTTGCAAATGTGCAAGTATGCACTGTATTGCCCCAGTCCAGACCTTTTGAATGACCTGCCACTTGAGATTCTAGGGAACCTTAATTATCCTTTTAGATACCCTGTGAAGCCCTGCCTGTTTCCCCAAATGTTGGTCTAGAAAGGGGATTGAGTCAGGAAGCTAATTGGTCAGGAGCCCAGTAGGAAGAGTGGTTTTGTTTTTATTCTTGTTTTTACTGATAGTTGTGAGCCACAGTATATGGTCATTATGTCAGACAGGCAGCCATATAAGTTATGTAAACAAGTAAAATTGAAGGCAGCCCCAGAAACAAAAAATATTTTGCTGTATTCCAGCTGAGCAATGGTCAGGTTCATTTACCCTCATCAGGGTAAATTCTTCCAGATAAAGTCAGCCAACATTTGCCAGAGGGACCCTGGTCACAGCCTCCACATTTTTTTAAGCAGAGAATCCAGGAGAAGTCCCAAGTTACAAATCAAACTTCTTTGGGGGAGTATGACCCGATCCAGAGTTACTATTAATGTTACTGATATCTATTGACAGCAAGCTGCTTCATCAGGGAATGGTTTAATCTGGACTTGTTTTACTATTTATGTTGTCACAGTCTCTGGACACCAATTCAGGATTTCAGGAACTTCTTGACATAGCCCATGATGGTGATGTATAACTGAATATTATCACCATACTAATAATAACATCATCCTGAACCATTTTAGCTTGAACCACAGAATGACTCACTTCATTCATGTACAGATTAGATAATTTGGAGGGAAACCCAGAGGAACTTCACACTTTAGGGACTCGATCACAAACCTCCCCATGAGTCTGACTGGAAGTAGAAGCAGAAACACCATAAAACGATACCACCAGCTCCCTTCTCCTTCAGGTGGCCCAGGAGGATATTATAGTTTATGGTACTGGACATGATAAAGAGATCTAATAAGATCAAAAGGGATATGTTGTCCCATATCAAGGTCCTAGCAGAGATAATCAACTAGAACATTCAGTGCCATTTTCATTCCTTAACTAGCCCTGACTAAAAAGGATCTAGTAATCAATTTAAACTAGAATCCTCTGCAGTGTTATTGATTTTTCCCACTGCCTTCTTAACCAGTTTGCAAGGAAAAGAGTTTGAAGCCTGGGAGAAAGTTGTAAAAAAAGAAAAGAAAAAGCTGTTATTTTCACTGTAGAATAATTTTTCGTGACCAGAGTTTATTTTGTTATATAACTACATTTGGATGTTTTTATCTACTTTGCTGCACAATGTCAACGGTGGAAAAATTTCTCCTGGGAGAAATATTCTTAATGCAAATGCCTTTTATTGTTAAGAATTAGCACCAATAAAGTGGTGTTAAGAAGCACCATTTTTGGACAGTACTGTTGTGCTCATGACATCTCATTGGATTAAGCTTCTTTGGATTATTTGGCTTCATTAAAGAAGGGCTCTACCTTTTGTAGCATTTGAAATTGTGAATCATTGTTATGCTATCAAAATCAAACTGAATGATAATCCAATTATGGTCAATTCCAAAGTTAAAATGTTTTGTAGTTCAGCACATACAATAGCCTTATTTCTGCAGTTAAATGCAAGACAATTATTTCAGTTTCTCAGCAACAGAAATATAGCCATTTCCTTCCTTCTGTGACAGAAGGATATTTCTGAGATATAAAGGATATGAACATTTTCCATACATAAAACCTGTTAGGCAATACTTAAGCAGACTGCATTTGCTTACAAAATACCCATAGCTTAGTACTTTATCTTTCCATCCATGTGCATAATTTATCCATAAACCAATTATGTGAATACCCATTCATAATAAATCCATTAAAAAAAAGTGAAATAGGCTTAAATCGGATATACTGTACTCTTCTAGGTGGGAGAAAGCCCCATTAAATTCATTAGCACTGAGCTGTACTTTTCTTTCTGTCTTCCTTTCTATGTACCAAATCCTCTATGACTTGGCTCTTGAGCTGCATGTCATTCACCAAGATCTCTTATCAGCAATCTAATTTCATTATTTCTAAGGAAAACCCAATCCCAAGAAGGGCAGAAGGAAGTCCAGAAGGAAAAGGGCTATTAAGATAGGTTTACAGAATGATTGCTAAGATATAATTGATTTTTTTAAAACTCGTAATGAAAACTTACTACATAACGAGAGCTGGAAGAACACATTTATAATTATTATTCTTTGACTCAGAATAATTGCAGTGCAGTGTAATTCCAATGATTCATCAGAAACAAATGTGACTCTTATTTTCAGCAGTGACAAATTCCCATCTGAAGTCAGTGGAAGCTTTGACTTCACTGAAAACAGGATTTAAACATTGTTTCATTTCCTCCTCCTTATCAACTTAGCATTGATGAGAGCTGAAACACATTGTTTCAACAGTAAACTTGGCTTCACCTCAGTCCAACTCAAACTGTATTGCAAAATGCAAAATAATTGGCAAGATTTTGTGTTTATAACAACTGGATAGACAGAGCCAAACAAGAAGAATCCAGAACAAAAGAAAAGTAAGAGAACATTGAAGCTGCTTCTAAGAACATTTTCAAATGTATCTGATGGCTCTCAAATCATAAGAGACAACTTGTTCCCTGAGAATTATGCATGTTGTTAGACTGGCTATGTAAATATACTTCCTTGCTATATTTTACAACCTTTTAAAATCAGTGTTGACAATTATTACTTTGGCAGTGTCAAAGTTCCCTTAGACTTGCAAATGCATGGGTACACTTTAAATGCAACCATTTAAAAGTCATTTTTGATTATTATGTTCAATGTGATTAATGCCATGCAGAATACTATAGAAAAGAACAGGTATGGGGAAACAAACAATGTTTCTTAACCTGCTTCTAGTGTTACAACTCATCTGAGTGATGGTCAGACTGGAGGTGGCATTTTATCCCAATTTCTTTCAAAAATATATGAACGTTTCTTGAATTTTTAAAATACTATTTCTTATGAAGGACTAGTTTTCTTCAGTGTTAGGTTTTCTAAATACATTGGTCAGCAGCTCTCAGCCAGGGGTGGGATTCAACCAGTTCAGACTGGTTTGGGCGAACCGGTAGTTCCGGCAATCAGTTGGCCCTGCCCACCCACCCCTGCTCTATTTCCGTTGTTTGAAGCCCAGCTGACTGGCACGGCAGAGCGGATTGCCCTGTCTCAGCTGTTTTACTCACTGGGCAGGGGTGGGTTTCTGCCGGCACTACTGCCGGCTCGTTGCATGCACAATTTGCTAAAAAACACACAACCGTTGCAGCATCCCCATGGTCACATGATGAAAATTGAGATGTTTGGCAACTGACTCATATTTATGATGGTTGCAGTGTCCTGGAGTTGTGTGACCTTCTAACAAGCAAATTCAATTGGGAAGCCTGATTCACTTAATAACCTGTTATTAACTTAATAACTACCATGATTCTCTTAACAAATGTGGCAAGGTCCTAAAATAGGACAAACTTCACTTAACAATAGTCATAGTTAGCAACAGAAATTTTGGGCTCAATTGTGGTCATAAGTTGAGGACTACCCGTAATTTTTAATTTAGTGCAGATTGGAGATTGATATCAATTGATTGATAACCTCACATTTAATGTGACCCAAAATTCAGTTAATGTGAGGTTACTGCATGCATAATTGAGGTTGGGGTTTTAGATGCTTCTACTGTTTGTATATGCAAGTGGGGAAAAGGTAGATTTTGTCAGAGAAAAACGGTACAAGATTTAAAAAGAAAAGGCTTGGGATTTTTTACCCATAGGAGTATCACTTTGAATAGCAAACAGTGCAAATTCAAATAATGTGACTATTTTGTGAAATTCATTAACTGCGCTAATTGAGACCTATTTGTAATTTATAATGACAGGATAAAAAATAACACTTAACGTGACTATTGAAAGCTACTCAGATCCAGAACATCTGTTTTATTTTACATGAATTTAAGGAAAAATATAGTTCTTCTAAGTCAAAATAATATGAAAAGAAGGCCAACCTGTTAAACCACCAGCCAGCTTGATCTTCTTCAGCGCAATTCTTTTCATAATTGTCATTATCTCTGTCTTTGGTGCTGAATTTCATCCCTTGGTGATTTGCCCACCATTTAACTTCAGGGTGAAACCCCCCAGTGAGAGAGTCACCAGCTGTTCCAGAATATTGGCCACAATTCATCTTGTAGGAATTCTAGCAAAGAAGTTGAGAAAAGGAGTAAGATAATTGTATAAGTGGAACACCTGTCTAGCATTTAAGAGAGACCTTCAAAAAGGTGAATAAGAAACATTGTCCACAAAGAAATCAAAATGGAAAGGCTTCATTCATATGGTTGCATTTAATAACCAAGATTAGGTACATGTATAGCTTAGGGGATTTCCCAGTTTTAAGAATTTATGCCTTTAAGGAAGTTGAGCATATTATTCTGTACTGATTATTTTTTTTAAAAAAAATCCTGGAGTGAACAGTAAAAGAATTTAGCATATTGTGAAATTCCCATAATTTTAAATTTGAAAATTGGGAGCGGTATAGTGTGTTTTTATTTAATTGGGTGGGTAGTTGCTCCATTTTATGATGTTGATTTTGTTTTCTGTGACTGCAAAAAGTTTGAAAGCTTACTGCCTTTGAAATTTAAATGCTAATTAAAAATAGTATTTATTCTTCGGTTTTTTGCTTATACTAAGAAGTTCAGATTATATACATATTATGAGAGTCACCTTCTTATGGGGACTCTGTGACATTGGTTAGGTAAGAGAATGTCTCCATTTCCCTTCAGAGATCTCACTAACCCCTCCAATATACATTATGGCTTTGAGGGTTATATGTAACTGGACACTCTTGACTGTGCACAATTAACGAGGTTCACAGCTGAATGGAGATGATTTACTCTATCGTGCTAAAACTCTCTCACGCACACTCATACACACCCAGAATTCTGAATGATACAACATTTGTGAAATACTTATGTTCTTATGATGTGTATTTAGAATTCCAAGTTCTAATGAAGCTACTTCCACTACCTGCTCGTCTGCAACTCGAAACTTTTCATACTGTGCAAAGCGCTGTTCATCCATAAAATCAGACAAATCGATCCTCAAGGTATAATTCCCTGAATTGAAAAGAACAAATGAAGGTGCAATATTCTGAAGAGAGGAAAGGAGAACTTCCATTCAATTCGTTGCAGGCATGGAGAGAATTCAGATACAGTGGCTAAGTGCTTTTTTTTTTTAGCAGTTTGAGTTTCTTATTGCTTACCATGATACTAACATACTTCGATTAATCAGGGCAGGTTAATATGGAATTTTATTGAAAATTTATTATCTATTATTAAAAATAAATTTATTATATAATTGTAATCAGAGATCTTGCCCTTTACAGTCAGCAACTCAGCACTTTTTGTATCATGCATTAGTGATACCTAACCATGTATTTTGTTGTTGTTAGTTGCAAAGTCCAACTATCGTCACCCCATGGACAATGTTCCTCCAGGCCTTCCTGTCCTCTACCATCCTCTGGAGTCCATTTAAGCTCACGCCTACTGTTTCAGTGACTCCATCCAGTCACCTCATTCTCTATTGTCCCCTTCTTCTTTTGCCCTCAATCTTTCCCAGCATTAGGCTCTTCTCTAGTGAGTCCTTCCTTCTCATTAGGTGGACAAAGTATTTGAGTTTCATCTTCAGGATCTGGCCTTCTAAAGAGCAGTCAGGATTGATCTCCTCTAGGATTGACTGGTTTGATAACCTTGCAATCCAAGGGACTCAGAGGAGTCTTCTCCATAACCATAGTTTAAAGGCCTCATAGCTTCACTGAGCTATGCAAGCCCGCTTGCCATGACAAGGCAGTAATCCATGAAGTGGAACCATATATTTAACACCTGAATTATATTAACAGTGTGTCGTTCTTTGCTTTGTTCTGACTGTGAAGTAGTCTGAACAGCTTGTAAACTGTTCAAATCTCACAATCAGAACAAAGCAAAGCACTACACATATACTGTAGTATACACATACACAGTCAGACCAAAGGAACACCTGCACACCCACACGCTTACATCCTGTGTTTACACATCCCAGACTTGAAATTAGCTGTTAGATTGTCAGACTAAACACAACCTATAACTGAATGCTCAGTGTTTTGAGAAATTCTCTTTGTCTGGGTAGGAAAAAACAGTGGAAAAATTTGCTTCACTATAATTCCAGATTAATAGTTTGTTGATGTGGCTGTGATTTCCACTTGCCAGCATGTGTTATTTCTCTTTTCTGTATCAATTTGATTCAGTGTCCAGAGCAGATATTTTAAAATATGCAAATTGTAATAATCTCTGAGATTATTCTCAAAGAACCAGAAAATATATGAATAAAACACTGGAGATTTATGGGGTATTTTTAAAAAACAAAATAACTTAAAATAGCTTTTACTAGCCAAGTGTCCTCTAATTCTGCTGGACCACAATATCCATCATCCTAGATAAAGGAATGAAGAGAGTGGGATTCCAACTTAAATGGAAAGGGATACCAGGTTGGGAAGAAATTGCCTGGTGTCTTGGGACAGATAACAATTTTTAAGAGAGACTCAGTAGTTTGCAAGTGTATATTTTGCCCGATACATCCATTTCTGCAGAATGCACTTCTCAGATTAGAAGTAAACCCTGCAGGCTGTAAAAATTATTTAAAATTATTTTTATAGATTTCCTGGACATGTCTGCTTAGAAAAAAGTCCAAAAATCCAAAATTCTGCAAGTCCTATGCATCCCACAGCTCAGCGACTGCCATGGGCTGTACATGGGGCTACCTTTGAAGACCGTGCAGTGCCAGCAGTGATGGTGATGTCTCCTTATTGCCAGATGACATCCCTGCTCTGTGAGCTGTAACAGCTGCCAGTTTGCTTTTGGGTGCAATTGAAGCTACTAGTTATGACGTAAAGAACCCTATATGCCCTAGAGTCTGGTTATTGGAGACAATGCTTATGTCTCATGCCGTCTGTCCAGCTGAGAGAGTGGCAGGGTTGGTGGCCCTTGGGTTCCTTCAATTAAACAATATAATCTACCACAACACAGAAACTGGATCTTCTTTATCATAACACTTGCCCTCTGGAATGAGACTACTACTGAGATACAAATGGCTCTTATCCTGATGGGATTTTTGAGAACTTTAAAGGCCTAGATATTCCTCTGATGTAGGCTGGTTGGTGCTCCATGCTAGATTTCTTTATATATGTCTTTTTGAGTTTGCTGGATTTATCATCCTGGTAGGTTTTTTTGTAACTTTTTAATTTATCTTGTGCCTGTTTTGTTCCTTTTTCTTATTCATATTGTAATTTATTTTGTCTGCTACATTGTGAGCTGCCCATAGTCATCTGGAGTTGGGTGGCATCTAAATCAAATGAAATATATAAATGTATTCCCAGAGATATCACTATATCAGAATGCATCTAAAACTATTAACAAACTCAGCAACAAATCACACTTAAAAGGTAAGGTAAAGTTTCCCCTCACACATATGTGCTAGTTGTTCCTGACTCTAGGGGGCAGTGCTCATCTCCATTTCAAAGCCAAAGAGCCAGCGCTATTCAAAGATGTCTGCATGGTCATTTGCATGGTTACACCAAAGGCACAGGGAACACTGTTACTTCCCACCAAAGATGGTTCCTATTTTTCTACTTGCTTTCAAACTGCTAGATTGGCAAAAACTGGGACAAATAAGGGGAGATCACTAGGGATTCGAACTGCCAAACTGCCAACCTTTCTGATCGACAAGCTCGGCGTCTTAGCCACTGAGCCACAACACCCCCCCCCCAAAAAAAAGATCACACTTAGAGATACCTTAATCTGAACTACAACTGTGAAGAAATCCTACCTTCCTGTTCATTGTTACAAAATCAATCAATCTCTTATTATTGGTTTTGGTTTTTCTAATAAAGTGTTGTGTTTTTCCTTACCCTGAGAAGTCAGATAATGAAGGTTTTTGTTCCCAAGCCAGTATTCACCATTTGCTGAAGTAAAATCTCCAAAACCCTGTTCATATTCAGTCCAATTTCTGGAAAAAAAAGATTAAAACCTTTGATCTGTATAAATCACAGAGGGATTATAAAGTGGCTTTAAAACAGTTTGTGCAGTTCTCTAACAATTACAAATTACAAATATATATTTGGTTTCTAGGCAAAAAACAAAGGAAATTCAATTCATTTTATAATTTACTTTCTATTATGATCAATGACTAAAAGGATTTGATTGCAATTTTAGGTTGTCCAGCAATAACAATCAATAAACCTTGTTATACTCTCAAAGCAAAATCATTATGCTGCTTTTGATTAAAATAATAAATATAGATTTGATTAATAAATATTGCTACTATGGTTTTTTTGAAGCTTTTAAAATAATCATTGCATAATGGTTTTAGGAAATGATATCTTTATAGACTTTTTGTTTAGTGGATAGTTTTATGCTGCTCAGAGTCACTTTCCATGAAATGTTAACATAATAAATAAATAAATATTTTAAAAAATCATTAAATCAATATGAAGTACAATAAATACCACTGATTTCTATCTTCCTATATTTTCTGCTCCTCAGTGTAACCACGTCTTAACCAGCAAGCCACCAAAGATAATTTTGCTAGTTATCATATTATTTTACAGTCTTTGTCTGGAAGTAAATTAGTTATCTAAGAGACTCAACAAGAGCACCTGCACCAGTGGTGAAATTCAATTTTTTTTACTGCCGGTTCTGTGGGTGTGGCAGGGGAAGGATACTGCAAAATTTCCATTCCCATCCCACTCTGGGGCCAGCCAGAGATGGCACTTGCCGGTTCTCCAAACTACTCAAAATGTCCGCTACTGGTTCTCCAGAACTTGTCAGAATCTGCTGAGTTTCACCCTTGACCTGTACATTTTTGGTATTTGGGGAAATTTTAGGCCCAGTCCTTTGTGTCCATACAATTGATTCTAAAAATTAAACTATAATTAAACTATATTTGAACTAACAACCATAAAAAGTTGCATTGAGCTACATTAGTTTGAGCATGTTTTTACAAAAGATGCATTTTCATTTTTATCTATAAGAATTAGACATTCTACTGTAAATGAATTTTGTTTCAAAAATAACCATCCTGTGAGATGAATCTAGAGATTTTAATCTGTGTAACCAAAACCTTACTATTATATCTTTCCTATTATATTTGTTTAATGGAAATCTTATCACTCCCACCAACACTGACAGAGCAAGCCACTAGTATATAAAAATAAGAGCAAGCCTCATTCCCTAGTAGCACTGATGATGTTACCTAGTTTGGTAATGAAATGTCTTCAAGAAAACAACCAAGCTTAGAGAGCACCAAGGACTTCATAGTTCAAACCTGAACTACAATATTCTCTTCTTACCTATTAAAATTTTGACTCCCATCTGATCGTCTCTGAAAGACTGTCCACCCACCTCCTTCTGCCATATCACAGTAGGCAAAGAATTCACTGGGGCTCTTCAGAGGTTTCATCTTATAAAATCCACTTTGTGTATGACCAGCCTGATAGATCTCAGCACAATCTGAATCATAGCAAAACATCAATGGATTTTAGACATACAGTTTAGTCACATTCTCTTTCCTGCTATAAAATATCAGATGGTATACCTGCACACATTTTAATTCAATGAGGCAAATGCCATTCATTGATCATGTATTGCTTCTTGCCAAAATGTCTTGTTTATTGTTTTATGTGTCTTTTTTAGTTACGTAATATTAAACATTGAAAAACTGAACAATAAAGAAAACCTATACAATGAAGGATGTATTTATTTAATTCTAGTTACCATTTGTAAGTACATATAATATAACAAATTTTGGGGAAAAATATTGAATATTTTTAAAATATACTTCTTGAGGGCACATATGCATACATACATGTATTTTGATCCTTTCCAACCCCTGGATAATTTGTATGTTCAACATTATAAATCTTTGTCTATAAGTTTTTGTCTTGATAAAAAGTTAACAGCAATAAAGAGGCAAACAAACAAAAACAAAACAAAATGGGATTGCACTTCCTTTAGCTGGATAAAACTGATCATTCCTCATCTAAAGAATTGCTAAGAGTCTTCTAAAATAGTATAGCTGGCAAATGCATATCTCATTGGCTTAATGTAGGTCATAGTTAATCTTCAAAAGTTAACGATATTGATTTTGCATATGAGTCAATTGGATAACTGCATTCCTTTACCATAAGGAGTGGAAGATGAATTAGTGCTGGGAGAAATAGGGAACAAAATAGCCATAAAATGCTAATAAAAGCTGACCTTGCTTGATAGTAAAAGGACCATGAGGCAGAACCAGTGGTGGGATTCAATTTTTTTTTTACTACTGGTTCTGTGGGCATGGCTTGGTGGGTGTGGCAGGGAAACGATACTGCAAAATCCCCATTCCCTCCCCACTCCTGGGGATGGATACTCTAAAATCTCCATTCCCTCCCTATCTCACTAACCTGCTTTCCAGCTGTCTTGTCCTATGCAGGGCAACAAAAGAAGACCCAGCCGATCAGCTGGGATGCTGATCAGTTGGGAGTAGGGAAGCAGCAAATAGATGGGGGCGGGGCCAGTCAGAGGTGGTATTTGCCAGTTCTCTGAACTACTCATAATTTCCACTACCAGTTCACCAGAACCGGTTAGAACCTGCTGAATACCACCTCTGGGCAGAACGAAGGAAATACTTAACAGAATTGTGGTTCTAGCACAGAACAGTCAGAAGCAATGGTTTTAATAGAACCTGGTTGCTTGATCTCTTCACCGAACCATTCAATGATAGAACACAAAGCTTATGCAAGTTGGCTAGAATGACTGCTAGTTACTTAACTGAAATTGCATTAAATTCAAACATAGAACTAAAGTTTGGGTTAGCCAATACTATAATACTTGGGCAACCTTCATTAATTGTCTTGTTTACTCTCGTTCAATGTCCTGCCTTGCCCGAACCATTGGTTTATGAAAGCTACTGGAAAAATTCAAGATACATTATATTGCCAATACTCACAACTTAATCTGATTATGTGGATGGGTAAGCGAATATTTTTGCCAATATAGTGTATATAATTTCACATTTAAATAAGTAATGTAAAGCAGACCTGCAAATACACATCCTGCAAATATTTTTTCCAGCTCAGTTTTTCAGCTCAGTTTTTTTTCATGTCAGTGATTGATGGCAAACATGTCATAAATCTACTTCACCCTTTATATGCCACTTCTCTAGTCAAATTTAATATTCTTTGATTTCTTAAGGTTGGACCATGCTACATAGATTTCAACAAAGAGTTTCAAACTTGAAATCTAAGTTTCAACATATGCCAGGATTTAGCATGAAGTGAATTCTAATAACCAAATACTGGTGTACAGCACAATATGAATCACATTTAATGAATTACATGAAAACACTCCTTAGTAAGTGCACTTAAACCTCCAGAGACTACTATTCAGATTATTGCCATGTAATATAAGTAATTATTTCTACACTGTAAAATGTGTGCTAAAAATAATATGGTAAGTCATTTTGCTAAACTTTTGATTCATGAAGAGTAGAAAACCTAAACAAAGGCCCTTTAATAAGGAGAAGGAGTAGGGTTTAGAGATATGCTTTTTCAAGCATTGTGCAGGATAAAATGCTTTATGTAAATTAAATAAAAGTTCTCATAATTATTATGAGATTAAAAACAAGACCATACTAAATGCTTCCCCCTTCAATTTTTCTTTACTATTTTTGATTATGTGGTATAGTCCAGAGCAGGTCAAATAAGTATCCTATCACCAATTCTTTGCATACTATTGAGTTGACTACATGTAATCCTCTCTATACATTGGGGTTAAGTTTAAATATATTCTTTTTACTTCATGTAATTTGAGCATTAATTAATTTCAATCATTATGACAAGCCGTTGTGTTTTACTACAGCTGGTGCAACATCCAAATTGGGAAATAATGTTTGATGGAATATTACATGACAAACCATGATGTGAAGTTTACTATAATATGGGTTGATGATGTGTGTTTGTTTGTGTGCGCGCACAATGATTCAGGAGTTAGTTGGAAACAGTGGTCCATGTTCCTCAGCATACAGTCAGGCTGGTGCAGGACCCTGGAAATGTCTTCAGACAATGCTGACTCGCTCGGCTAAGAAACGGCTATGAGTACCACCCGCTAGAACCAGACACACTGGAAGGTTTACCTTTACCTATGCCTATACTCATACATACTGTACATAGACATATGTAATATTTACTGTATATAGTTGAAAAGTTGAAATGATCATCCCCCAGGTTTGTAAAAGGAATGCTTTGAGCCCACCTGGAGACCAAAGACGAAATTTATTTCTAACCTTTGTACTTTGTTTCTTCTCCCAGGTTGATGACAGCGTTTTCACCTTCTTTATCTCTGCTCTGTATATCCCTCTCCATTAAGAGGTTCACAATTCTTGCCTGTTGTTGCTTCACACTGTGTTCCAGTAGTCTCACTTGGGCCTGGAGTCTCAGCTGCTCTTGGAAACAACTTCCTACAGTCTTCAGGAAGGAGAGGAAAGACAGGGGCTCATCAGTGTGTTACTAAGTACTTCAGTGTCAGTTCATAACCAGTTCCTAAAAGATCCTACTACATTCAGATAATATGGAATGTTTTTTCTTAATAGATAGCTGAGCTTTTAAGATCTTGTTTATTGCTCCTAGTTATTTAGGAAAAGTGTAAAGGACAGATTCCTTTTGTTCCTGAAAAGGTGCCTAAGCAACAAATATAGAGCTAAAAATAATTGGGGGATTTTCAAGATACATAGTTTTCTAATCCACATATATTTTCAAGATATATATGTGTTAGAAAACCTTTCCTTGACTCTGTTTTTTAAAAGTGACAAAAGAATTTCAAGAGGATTCAAATGATATCAAGTGAACTAATAGAAAACCAGGGTGTACAACTTGTTTTTGTTATTCTAAATAAAAATGTTGATAAATGACATATATTCTCTAATTTTCTTGGTTTTTTTGTGCTATTTTTTCTCATATTTACGGTAATTGATGCTAATCCAGGACATAGAGTTTATTCTGGAAATAGAGAATTTTTCAACCAAATAAAAGGCATTTATGAATAACTGGTGGATTGATATCACCAAAGTGGGCATTGTAACAATATCATTGACATGCTTTGAAGCAGTGACGTGCAGTCAGGTGAGGCAGGGGAGGAACAGCCTCACCATTGTCATCATGAAAAGAAAAAAAATGTAAAAGGAAAAAAGGTGAGAGCAGAGGTCAGGCTGAGCTAGTTGCTGCCAGAGTCACCGTGGATGACTCTGCTTAATGCTTAACTGTTTAAGCATTTAAAATAGCCTCTAACAAAGCACCCTCTACAGGAGGAGGCAGGAGAATGATGTGCCTCATCTAGTCTGACTTTAGGCATTTTATGATCACTTAAGCAGAGTTAAGCAAGAGTTAAAAGCCTAAAAATTCCTGACGTAGGTGAGGCACATTGATCTCCTGCCTCCTCCTGTAGAGGGTGCTTTGTTAGAGGCTATTTTAAATGCTTA